CTAGTGTAAACAACTTCCTGTTTTGTAAGCAGAAAGAGGGTTGTCGGGCAAAGAAATAAAGCTGTTTTGACGGTTTAAAGAAAACTACAGCAGTTTTGAGCCTTCCTTTCAGAGGCAAATTACGCAAATGTGTTCGTGTGTATTGCTAGACGTATGAAGTTCTGTCCACTACTGGTGCAACATGTGTGTTTACAGCAGGCAGAAAACACGAGACACACGTGCAATGTGATTTCAACCTCAGAAATCAAGTTTAACTAGTTTAATCTGAGGGATTAATTGCTGCTTCTATTCTTGTTAGAGGTATGGACTCCCCTAATTTGACTAAATACATTTTCATATTTTGTAAATTATTAAATAAGGGAATATTATTAAGACACTCCAAAGCTTTGCTAATTTTAAGAGAAGATACAGACTCTTAACTGTAAAGTCCGTAGAAACTATTCTGATTTCCAGTAACATTCACACAACTCAGGCTGAAGGATCTCGCACAATCATGCTGCATCGAAGCAGCTGGAGAGCACTCTTACTTAGCCAGAGAAGAGAAGCACAAGCAGCAGCATTTGAATTTCTGCTTTATGGTAACTGGGTAAGGCTAATTCTATTAAATCTTCTACAGTCCTCAACACAGCAGACCATGACAGGATCACTAGCTCACCACGGCAAGTCTTGTAGATGTGGTAAGCAACGCGTGGAAAGTCCCACTTTGTACAAAACCCAGAGGAGAATTGGGGACAGTTCCTGTCCACACATACTCACTACTGCAGATAAGCAATAAACCTCAGTCCTAACTTGCAACTGATTATGAACAGTGCATGATAGTTGCCTGGAGTGTACCATCACACCACGGTGTGAAGAGCAGCCCCTGGAGCCAGGCAAAGATGATGAAGCCATGTCACTTGTGAGTTGAGTCAGACTGGAGTTAATGGTCCAGAGTTGAAGGACTAACACATTCCCTCAGTATGCCTTCATCAACCTTTTATTTTGTTTTCAAATCTCTTATCCCATAAAGCAGTGACAGAAAAGGGTTAAGGAATTAAAAAAAATTAAAAATCAAAATGATTTATATGTGAAACACTTCTGAACATGCCCTCTAAGTACAGTAGATTTTCCCCTTGGAACCACACCCTGTAAGTGCTGTATTTTGAGAGCTGAACAATTAACATAAGGCATATGAGTCAGGCTTTGAAAGACTCTGTGGGAACCAGAGAGCCTTTTGCTATTAGGAGTGATGTAAACTCCCTAAGGCTGGAATAAGTCCACAATAGAAGGCAGAGAGTCATAAATAACAACAATGGGCACTCCATATACTACTAAGACACTCAGCCATTATTGGTGATACTTCCTTTATTTTCTTTATTAGACTTAATAATTTTAGTTAATTAAAAAAAAAATAAAAAACACTGTCTGTTTTGGGAATACTATTTATTTCCTATGGGAACTTCAGGACTTGTTAAAGAAAGAAAAAAAGCTAATCTGCTCTCATCCTGTCTAGTAATCCCAAATTCCTTTTAGGCAGTGAAATAATTAAAGAAAAATATTCCAGGCATAAAAAGGAGGACAGCAGAAGCAGACATCATATAAACAATGACACCATGACAGAGAAAAACGTCAAAGCACCGCCAGACTTGTGACTTGACTGAAAGAGCTGCAGGGAGTGGGACTGCTGCTAACAAATTAAAACCACATTTCTTGGCAAATTGTTAAAGACAGACATATTTACATTTGTATAGAGACTGGGTGGGCACAAAAGATTAAAATGCTTCTTTAGCCCTTGAACTGCCAAGTTCTATTAGAAATATGTGCTCTTAAAATCCTCGGGTAAGCTTACTCCTTTTTGTCACTAAAACTCAGCAAAGAAGGGCCTGCAGAAATGAAGCTTGCAAAGTCTTACGATGTTACCTGCTCATAATACTGGCCTCTCAAAACCTTATTTTAAGATCCTTAGTTCTCATCCAAAGAGATGTCTGGGAAGAAAACCTCTATTAAGACCTACAGAGAAACACGACTGTTAGGCACACAATATACTTGCTTTAAGGCTCATCAAATTGAAAATCCATTCTTTCACTATCTTACTCAACTTACTATCTCATTCAAAATGAAAAAGGAATCCTCAAAAATATAAAAAGTGGTGACTGCCATCTGCAGCTCTCTCCAGGGCAGTTGAATTCAGCCGTACAGCATTAAAGACCTGTAAAAGAACTACTCATGGATGTGTACCTGGGAAGAATCCTTACAACTTATTGTCTTGAAGAAGAGTGAAAGGTTTGGCCTTTTCAGCCTGACAATAATACTCATACAAACATTGATTTTTTTTTTCTTTTTTCAGCCTAGGGTTTGCGATGCTTGGCTTAAAGAAAGATTTCTGAAGCAAACAATGCTGCCCCCCTTCCCGCCTCTCGAATGGCTTCATACTTTCTAGTTGTCTCTTACCATGCTCAGGACAACAGTTGCACATGCTTACATACCAATAAAGTAACACTAAGGGATAATTAAAAAAAAAACAAAAAACCCAAACAGAATAAACCCCACACACATTGTTTCTGAATTGCATTTATAAATGCGGCTCGACTTTCTCATCAAAAAATACTTAACAGAAAACATCAATGGGTCCAATAAATCTAATTTAGTATCAGCGTGCCATATGACAGGGGACTCTGAATATAATAATGTAGATGAAACAATGAAAAAGTATTACCCCAGGCACACACGAGTGAATAAAATTAAAATTAGTTAAAGGAATCAGGCAGAAACAGTTATTTAGGGGAGCTTTACGTGAGCTTGCAATTGCATGATTTCTCTTGATGTCACTCTAAGCAGTATCATGAGCTCAACCACCTCAGATAACTTTTAAGTCTCAGAACTTTTCTAATAGATGATTGGCAGTTCAGAGAGGTCAGACAGGACTCTTTCCAATCTGATAAACAGAAAAGGGCTCCTAAAGCAAGTGAGGAGGCTTGCCAGTGAAGGATGAATCAGATACTATCATCTAACTTCTAGAAAATCAACAGACAGGACTTTGGGTCTAGTCTTCTGCCCTCTCCCATCCTACATGAAGGAAAAGCTACCCACAATTTCACGATGCAAATTTGTCGGCATTTCCAATGTAGTTTCCTAGCAATTCTACTTATGAACTTCTACCACCTCATAAAACCTTCACAGAAGTTTTCCAAGTACAGAAATGGATATTATTCTCAACCTGAAATACAGTTCCTTGGTTGGACTTGTAGAACATTATAAAATGGACTGTCGTACTCTGTATGTCAGTAAGTTCCAGTAAAAACATTAAGGATCATTCCATGTTACATCCGGGAGTACTGATTTTTCATTTGAAATAGGTATTTTTAAGGAATGCTGGTGGTTCTAAAAAATACATTCTTTCCAAGATTGAAATTGGAGAAACAACCAGAGAAAACTACATCTCTCCGGTGAGGAGCAGAACAGTATAACCTATCCGTGGCCAAGCACAGAAAGCAAAATCTAAATCCTGGATCAGTACAGTCTTCATTATCTGCTACCAAAATTAATTTTTATTTGACACCATGGATCTTAACGATTAAGCTATTGCTTGTCAAGAGTCCCTATGGTCTGTACTACTTAGTCCATGAGCTGGCCCAGTCTGTTACAAGCCCCTGTGATACACATTCCACTTTCTCAAGATACAAGGTGTGAACCCGGGTTTCTCACTCTATAGGTAAGTCCTGGCAATTCCAAACACTCCAAAGGTCCCCAAAGCATCATCAGAGTACCTTAAAGCATATGACTTCTATGAGGAAAATGCCTTCTTGCTTTTGAAGCCTTTTCTTTGGGTTTTAATTGTATTTTACATCTAGCAGGAATCCCAGACTATTCTGAATGTGAACGCTTGCTAGAAAACAGAAAAAT